GGCCAGACCAGAGTTCAAATCCTGCCCCTCGTCAGCTGGGTGATTGTAGACAGGTTACTTCCCTTCCCTGGGTCTGGTTCCTCCTCACTAAAATGACGTTAAGAACAGTGCCGCCCCTCGTCGAGGGTCCTTGGTGAGGGTGACGACGCGGGCTATGCCCTGGCACTGTCCTCGGTGCTGCACTGCCGTGAACTATGGGCCGGTCACGGGAGCATGTTTACGGAGGGGCGGGTGGCAGAGAAGGGCGGGCGGACCTGGTGCAGCGCCTTGAGTGCCCAACAGTGATGGCGACCCTTACTCCAGGCGTTTGGGTTCCTGTTGTCTGGTGTGGAGTCTCCGTGTTTGTTTCAGGAAGTGGAATCTGGCAGCCCTGTGTGAAGGAGATTGGAGAGAGTGAGTCAGAATGGAGGACCTTCTGGCTTCTTACAGGGTGTTGAGTCTTTGAGGTCTGATGGCAGCAGAAACGGCCCATAGGCACAGTGTGTGAGGAGCACTGGGGTCTGACAGGACCTGGGACCACCTGTGATGGAAGAACAGGTGTCCCTCTTCTGAGGTGGTGACACAGAGGAGCAGTTTTGCAGGTCTTGGGCAATTGTAGGCCCAGTAGGGTATCCTCGTAGGGCTTTGTGGCCGGCAGTTAGGAAGGTGGTGCAAGGATTTAAGAGTGAGGTTGTAGCCACAGGTGAGGGCTTGGGGGGTGTCATCTCCACAGCCAAGAAGGAGAGAGATGAGAGCTGGGACCAAGACCTTCCTGGAGCGGTCACAGAGGAGAGGGAATCCAGAGACATAGTCCAGGAACACCTCATTTAGAGATCAGAGAGCAAGATGGTGGGGGCGGAGCGCCAAGGATAGAGGGCTGAGAGGGAGGCTCCGGGCAGGAGGCTGTGTTCACAGGAAGGCAGGCAGGGGAGCGAGGGAAGGGTTCGCTGGGGTCCTAGAGAGCAGTTCCAGTTGCCTGGGAGGCTGAGGGCCTGGGTCGGTTACAGAGCAAGGTTGTGCTAACTGCCACTCCCTGAGTGATCCCACTGAGCACTGCATATATTGAAATGCGAACTTAATTACACGGTAAGCACTGTTAAGATGCTGTGTGGTAGGCGAGGGAACCAAGGCACAGAGAGGCTAGCAACTTGCTGAATTAAAGTGGAAGAGTGAGGACTTGAACCGGCAGATGAGCCCGCATGCTTGGATTAACCACAGTACCAGGTAGCAGTGGAGGAAGGCGGAGAAGCTGACACTAGTAATTTCAGTGGAACTTCTTGAATGAATCAGGAGTGAGTGCAGCAGCTTGGTGGGGATAACTGGGTAGAAGAAAAGGTTAAAATGTTTTATTTTTCCCTTAGGACTGGGGAACATTGAGCATGAACAAAACCCAGTGAGGGAAGAGATCGAGGGGCGGTGAGGCTGGCTCCTTCCGTCTCGCATCCCTGCCCTGACCAGGGCTGGTTCTGTGGTGGGCATTGACAGACTGAGAAGTTTCTCAGAATAGCTGGTGTTCTCTGGGGTGTGACTGGCCTTCCGTCAGGTCTCTGCCCACCTGCGGCTTGTGGATTTGCGCTGTTTCCTGAAAGGAGTGCTGAGCAGCAGCTAGTACTTCTGTGAACATCCATAATGCTTCTCGCCTCTTGGTTCCAGTTAATCCCTTCTCATGAGTAACTTTCCCAGAAGTTACTTGATTCAGGGCTAGTGGCTTTTCGGGAGCTCTGATGACTGCTAACCAGAAGGCTGGCGGTTCAAACCCAGCAGCCACTCCTCAGAAGGAGGATGGGGCAATCTACTTCCGAAGAGATACCACCTCGGAAACCCAAGGAGGGGTCACTATGGGTCGGATCCAACTCCAGGGCAGTGAGTTTGGTGTTTTTGGTTTTAGTGGCTTTTCAGAAAGCTCCTGCTCCAGGCTTCTGACGCTGTCGGCCATTAGGCTGTGCTGCCCTCTAGTGTCCTCTTCGAGCCATGACAGGCAGGAACAGTTCAGTCGGACAGAGCTGGTTTCTTCCCCGATCCTGATTCTGAGGTTGACTCTGAACATCGACTTGGGGCATGATTCGAGGTTCTTGGTGGCTCCAGGTCAAATAGGTCATACTCAAGCGGGAGTGTGGTGCCTTCTGTAAGTGTTTCCAAATTTGAGATGATGGCTGAAAACCAAAAATGGGCAGTGGATTAAAATCCAGGGTGTGTGGGAGGGAACAGTGAACTCGACTGATGTGGCAGCTGTGCTAGTGTCTGCAGTGTGGCCTTGCTTCATGGACAGAAGGGGATGAAAACACCTGCCTTTGTCTCTGTGCCGCAGATGCACCTGTCGGAAGCCTGGAGAACGGGACCGGCCCGGAGGAGCACGGCCTTGCTGAGCCTGGACGTCGGTACAGGTCACTGTTCAGACCCTAGTTGCCTGTGGGCCCAAGACACCCTGTTCACTGCTCTGCTCGTCATTCCTCTGTAAAGCTAGGGGTCAAGGCCCCCTGTGTGTTCAGATCACAGCTGCATTATACCATGGAGTGTGATGTGGCCAGGGATTTTAGACACAGTACATGTCACACTGCTTTTGCATGCCGTTTACATATTTGGGCCATGTCTAGTACCTCCTCTCTCACTGTTGGCTTAATGTTTTAGCCCTTAGGATTCATTTATTATGAGACAAAGACCCGCCAAATGCCAGTAGCACCCCGTCCCCTGGTTGTGACAAACAAACGTTTGCAGACATTGCTCCTTGTCCCCTGAGGGGTGAAATTGCTTCTCCCTGGGAACCATTGTGATAAGTGTGAAAAGTAGAGTTGGCTGGGTCCTAGCCCTGCCTGCTGAAGGGGTGTGAGAGAGAGAGGCCTTGGTGTGAAAGGGAGACTTGACTTTGAGCGTACTGAAAGGCCACGTGACCATGTGATCCAGTGTTCAGTGTCAATGTCCTTGTGCTCTGAAGTCCCTGTTACACACTTTGGAAAACTGCACTGAGACAGAACTGCATTTAATGAGGGCGTCTGACATGTTGACTGGTGTTTTGACCTTGGGCAACTTCCTCCGTCACCCTAGACCAGGGTTGGCATGTGTTGTCTGTGGAGGGCCCGACAGTGAATATACGTAGGGTTTGTGGGCTGTGTGATCTCGGCTACAACACTGAGCTCTGCTGTTGTGGCACAGGAGCAGCCCTAGACAACCCCTAAGCATATGTATGTGACTTTGTTCCAATAAAACTTTATTTATAAAAGCACGTGGTGGGCTGGGTTTGGCCCGTGGGCTGTAGTTGGTCACCACCCCTGCTCTAGGTCTCTTTTGTAAAATGAGGCAATAACTCTGTCAGCCTTATGAGGATTACAGGAGAGGATTGTGGGGTTTAACCCAGCGTCTGCCACTGTGCAGGTCGGGAAATAGCAGCTTTGTATCTGTTTCACCCATAGAAAAGGAAGCTTAAGGCATCATACTCTACAGCTCACGGATGTGGGCTCCGGACCACCTGCCTCCAAATGCCAGCTCTCCTGTTTCCCTACTGTGTGCCCAGAGCGAGTTATGAGACCTCTTTGTGCTTCTGTTTCTTCAGCCATCAGCTCTTACTAGGGTAGCAATAGGGCTTCTCAGATGATGAAGTGCCTTACTGTGTGCGTGTAGCATTTATAAACCGTGTTGCTCTTACTCCCTCCCCTCTGAAGTGCTTGGAGCCCTGCCCACCGTGTAGGGAGCACTGTGCACAGCAGGTCTCCTCTCTTGTCTCCCCTACAGAAGGATCTCACAGTCATGAGCTGTTGGATGGCAGAGCAAAGACACCCACCAAAGTCTCCCCGCTCCCACTACAGTCTTTGTTGCTTTTAGTCTTTTTTTTCTCCCTTCTTCCTTCTCATGGGTTAATTTGGCGTCCCGTGGTTTAATAACATGTCTGCACTTTAGCTCTAGGTTGGGAGTTACTGACCACCTCAAACCATGCCCAATTTTGTACTCTTGGGCTCCCCAAATGACACCACCTGCAGGAGGCTCGTAGCAACTAGTGCAGCGTCAGGAAGGACTGGTGTCACCAGACCCATCCCACTCTCCGAGTCCTTTCCCTCTATTTCAGAAAACTGGCAAAATTTGCTGCAGCCAGTGTGAAAATAACGTCTTTAATCCCTGACTGTATAACATTGCCAGTGTTTGGTGCTTTTCCTCCTAGGGGTGCGTGTGTGTGCGTGTGTGTGTGTGTGAGTGAGTGTGCGTGCACACACACACACGTATGTGTGTTGTTTTCCCAAAAGATACTCAAGGCTATGTTTTCATGTTGCACACTCTTTATTAAACATAGCTTAAAATGGCTGCCCTCTGTTCCTTCCAGGGCTGTCCCTGACTACACTTCTTCATTCCTAGTTCTTTGAACAGTGAGGATGTTCAATTTTAAATGACTGAGTGTAACTTCCTTCTGCCTTCTTTTTTCCAGTGTGGAAGCCAGTCCCCCAGGCCAGGGAAGTCCTCTGAGTAGCCTGTTGCCGGCTGCCTCGGTGCCAGAGTCGATGACGATTAGTAAGTACTTCCTGAGCCCCCTCCACCATCACCGGGATGGCTTCTGGTTCTGCGTGTCACTGTACTGCCTGTCTGCTTGCCCCGTGTGCCTGTGGAATGTGGAACAAAGTCAGGGGTACGTGTACGTGGCTGTGGACTTAAAGTGGTGTATATTTAACATAAAATTTGATGTGTGGTTGTGTTCACGTGTGATGCTTGGGTATGTGCATGACACACGTCAGGGATGGAGCTGCCTTTAGCTGGAAGGGAAGCATCTGGTTGCTCAGGGTTGGGAGTTCGCCTCCTCCAAGGCAGTCGGGTGTGGAGGAACCGTTCGAGTTCATTTGCATTCTGACCCGGGAGGATTGTTTTCTTGGGAGTGAAGAAGAGAGTGTCTGTCAAAGACAGTGAAGGCTGCTAATGGTCGTGTTCAAAGTGTTGTCAGGAGTTCCTGCCGTCCAGTAAGAGTGTTAGAGACACAGCTGTTAAGTTTGGGTTTGGGGCTTTTGTATAACAACATGCTGACTGGGGCTTCCCACGAGAGAATTTCATCTCTGTGCAGAGGCAGCACAAGGGATGGGGCAGAGGAGAAACTTCCTCCCTTTCCACGGGTGGGAGTTCAATGGGGTCTGAACGTGGATGGGAAAAATGAAACCTTTCCCACTAACCTCTAACTGATAATTAGCATTTCCTCAATTACGAAAGTAGCAGCAAATTACAGTGTTAGCAGAATGGGTGACTGTCACCATTAGAAGCCACAAGCATCTGCAGCAACTGTGACAGGAGGGTCATTTCTGTTAAGAAAACAAAACGTTAGCTCTTGAATGTGATAGTAGCTGTTTGTTGGCTCTTTTTGGCTTTCAAGAGCAGAAGTTTGTTTTCTCACGGTTCCTGAGCCTGAAGTCCAGGTTGAGGGCGTGGCTCAGAGAAAGCGGCTCCTTTGTCTTTCTCATCTCCTAGTCGCTGCCAGCAGTCCTGGTGGTCCAGATGTGTAGATGCATCTCTGCGAGTGTGTGTCTTCCTACGGTGTCTGTCCTGTCTATGTGTCTGTGTGTGTGTCTTTCTGTGTCTGTCTGTGTGCGTGTGGGTCCTTTTGACTCTTTATAACTCAGGATGATTAGGGTTGGGGCCCATCCTTCTTAGATACGGCCTAATCAACATGACAGAGAAACCCCTGTTTCCAAAAATACCTCATCCACAGGACAGGAGCCAAAACTGAGTACATACTTTGGGGGCACAGAGGCAACCATAACGGGATCAGTGATCACCACGAGGTTCCTTGTGCCACTTGGTGATTTCTTTGTCTTTCATCCCTGTGCCTAAGCCCTCAGGGGTCTACTCTCTGTCACGGTAGCTAAACGTGTGTTTTGTCAAGGTCTGTATAAACAAAAGCACACAGTGTGTACGTGTTTTCTCTCGAACACCTTTGACTCCACATCACTGTTCTGAGACTCATCCGTGTTGTTGCAGGGCCACTAGTCTGTTCCTTTCCTTTGCAGACTAGGGTTCTATCATGGGGGTTTAAAAGCATTTGTTCCTTCTTTTGTTGAGACACATGTGGCCTGTTTCCAGTTTGAGGGTATTACAGATAAAGGTGCTATAAACATTTGTTTAAACAAACCTTTGTGTAGACATATTCTTTCTCGGGTAAATACCTAGGAATAGAGGGGCTGGATCATACAGTAGGTGTGTGTTTAACTATTCAAGAAACTGCCAAGCTGCTTTCCAAAGTGGTCATAGCAGACGTCTGGTTACACATCCCTGCCAGCAATGAACGAGAGTTCCAGGCGCTCCATGTACCCGTCAGCACTTTGCAGGTGGCTGGTCTCTGTAACTGTAGATGTTTTAATGGGTGCATGGTGTATAGTATCTCATTGTAGTTTTAATTTGCATTTTAGGAAGAATTCTTTTAATTTTGGACTTCATAAAAATAACGAGAAGGACAAATCGAGAATGGTATGATCCGTACAGTTGCATGGAGGCTGTGTGACTAAGAATAGTTACGTACATTAAATAGCACAGAAAGTAACTCAATCTGATACTTCCTTCCAGTCCTTTCTCTCTGGACATACTGCTGCACCTGAAGCTTGATGAGGCCAAAGAGAAATCTGGTCACAAATACCATGTCACTTTTATTTTGAGTATTTTTGATAATTGTATTTCAATATAATTGGTGGTTTTTGTAATCTTACATATTTTATTTAAAAACAAACAAACAAAAAAACAAAAATAAAAAAAACTACCAAAGTCACTGCCATCAAGTCGATTCTTTCTGGCTCGTACTGACACCCATTGGGTTTCTGAAGCAGTAAATCTTTACGAAAGTAGGTTGTCCAGTCTTCCTTCTGCGGAGTGGCTTTCGGGTTTGAACCACCAGCCTTCTGGTTAGCAGTCAGATGCCTTAGGCACTATGCCACCAGAGCACCTTTACTTTATGATTTAGAAAGATTTTCTGAGTTGGGTACTGTGGGCTCCACCAGACTACTGGATGGGTCCCCAAACCCACTGCGTCGAGTTAATTCTGACTCACAGCAGTGCCCCTAGAGGACAGAGCAGAACTGCCCCATAGTGTTTACGTGGTTCTCAGTCTTTACGGAGGCAGACTGCCACATCTTTCTCTCGTGGAGCAGCTGGTGGGTTCAAACTACTGACCTTTTGGTTAGCAGCTGAATGCCTTAACCACTGCACCACCAGAGCTCCTTAATGGGTCCATAATCCACAAGAAGTGAAGACGCCCGGTGTCAGGGCCCCTTTCTGATGGTACACACTGACCCCAGTCGTGTCTCTGACCAGACTTAGTCCCAGTGCATCCCCCAGCTACAGAGGATCGAAGTGCCCAGATTGGGAAGAAAAAAAAAAAAAGTGGGGTCATCACTGTTGAGGAAGGCAGCGTGGAGTCTGGGAGGCACCTGCATTCTCTGGGTCAAGGGCGATAAAGGAAGTGAATAGACACCGTGAGGTTGGTGTGGTGAGAAGGGCCGGTGCCACTATGTTTGGTGAAGATGTTGTGGTTTAGTGTGGCCTTGAATTCAGATGAGCTCACCCAGCGTGAAGGCCAGGGGGCAAGACAGCAGGCAGGCTGCCGTTTTCCAGTGTCCCTCGTTTGTTTTCCACTGCACTCTGGTCTACCCCGTGGGGTGTGTGCATTTAATGGTGCACTTCAGAGAACTGGAGTACGTTTACCTAAAATGGAGAAACCGCACGCCGCTCCTGTGACGGAGCCGCTCCTGGACTGAATCGCAGGCCCCGGGAAGATAAGGACAAAGTCAGGGAGGCTGCTTATTTCTGCTGCCTGTGCAGGCTCTGACTCAAGGCCCGCGTCCCTGGTGAAAAGGGGGACGGCAACAATGAGAAAGTAGCCTAGTACTGAATTCAGACATTGTTCCCCTGGATGGACCAGAAGGATGGGAGAAAGGACTGACCCGCCTGTTGTCTGTGGTCACTGTTGTCTGATGCCTTGTCTGTCTGGCATCTGTATTCTCTTCTTTGGGTTACACCATTGCGGAGGTAGATAAGACTTAGTCTGGCTTTTTACCTGCACTGACTCCAAAAACACCTCCAAAATTCAGCCAGGTGTTGGCGAGCCGATTCCAACTCAAGGCGCCCCTGGTGTTTGAGAGCAGAACTGTGCTCCATGGGGTTTTCGATGGCTGTGACCTTTCTGAGGTAGGTCACCAGAGCTGGTTTTGAGGTGCCTTGGGGTGGGTTTGGATCGCCAGACTTTTCGGTTAGTAGCCAGGCTCTTGCCTGGTAGTCCCACCTGGGGACTTCTGGCTGCCCTAAAGCACCCCGGTGTTGCCTTCTTTACGTTTTTTAAGGACAGTGGTCCCTGAGGTCACAGATGTGAATGCTGGGCTCTGCAGATGCCTCGTTCTAAATGCCACATGGGGTGACAACGGTGTCTGTGTGCACCAGGGGGTGTCACTGTCCCACCACAGGGCAGGGCCTGCTCCCTGGGGCAGAGTCCCAGCTCCTCAGGTCTACGTCACTTGCCTTGTCAGCCACTCTGTAGGTGGAGGGAGATCAGGGGTGGTCTCCCTCAGCTGTTTTCGGTCCTGGAGGAAGTTGCTGGCCTGCTTACACAGTCAGGTTGAGGACAGGCTTCTGAGCACGTTCCAGAGATGCTGACGGCAGTGGTGGAGGCTGCTCTTGTTTTTTCTCTTTTCTTGTTTTTTCCATTTTCTGGAAACGTATATCCAGGTTTAGTATTTGGTACCTTTGGGAAGTAGGGTTGTATCCAGAGTTTACAACTGGAATCTCTGAGGAAAAAAGTCACTCAGTCCATATTTTGACTCTCAGTACTTAGTAGTGGGGGGCTGTGTGTGTGTGTGTGTGTGTAGGGTCTGTTTGCTGAAGTAGCTGTAAATTTTGGGGAACTTTCAGGGGACAGCGTTGTGGTCCACCCTGTACGTGTTCCAGCACAGGTAAGAGGTAAGTAGCCTTAGAGTCATTGCATGGAGTGTCGTTTGACTCACGTTCCCTCCCCTACTCCCCCCTCCTGCGTCACCTGTAGGAGCAATAATAAGACATACCAGTCTGTCTGGGGTGCCCCGAGAGTGAACCACCTTCAGACTAAGACTTGCACGCTGGGATGCAAAGCCCATAGGCTTCACTCGTGAGGACGCACTTGACTCTTACAAACTCCAAGGAGCCTGGCAGAGAGAGAGCGTCCACTCTGTGCTTACAGACCCGTGGACAGAAGATGTTCTTGCATCCACCGAGTCGTGCCTGCAGTCAAGCGGGCTTCTGCTGTGGTGTAACCACACCTTGACCCTTGGTGCTGGGTCACGTCAACAGGCCCTCTGCCCAGCACCTTTAGCTCTGGGACTGCAGAGGATTCGGGCCCAAGAACCTTGGGGGGTTTATACTGGTTGTTATTTACTATCTGAGAGAGGATGGTGTGACTGTTTGCCACATGTTAGCGTTCTCTCTCAATAAGGCGCTCTGCTTATGAAAACACAAAAGCCCATTATGAAAATGTAGGATCATTTAATGAAGCAGTAAAGGCGGTTTTGAGCAAA